GTGTGTGTGTGTGTGTGTGTGTGTGTGTGTGTGTGTGTGTGTCAGAAACCGGAGCAGAAACACCAACTTCCTGCTCTCCCAACCACAGGTTGGTGGGGGGAAGGTTTACGACCCATTTTGAACTTTCCGCCAGCCTCTCCAACATCTACTTGGAGAGTACAACTTCCGGCATATCATGTTGTTGTTGTTCTCCATATGGGGCCGCTTAAAGAAATTGGCGCGAAACTAACGGAGTAGAAAAGATTAGACGTGGGGCTGTCCGAGTTAGGCCGACGGGTCCTGCTCAACCGATGCCAGATCCGACGGCAGGCCGTATGCTGTCAGACTCAGAGGGATGTTAGGATTTCTTGAGCACTTAAATTGCAAACTGTATGCAAGGCCTGAACTTATATATAATGACGAATGACAAAGAAACGCCTGGAAGTATCACCTCAGCTGAGGAGCGTCGTTTCTGACGTGGCGGGGAAAGGATGTGTGAACTCCGGTGGACTGCAGCGTTCAGCTGCTACCCGGTATTTCAGCAGGATCCAAATGTCACTGCTCAGAGGCAAATTCTCTGGGGCATTGAATTTTCCAAATCATCGGAAGACCGATTGTCCAGACTATCGTGTTCTGTACAAGTAAGTACTCAGTCTGAGTTTATATATTATCTTTTGCTAGACGATTTAGAATGGCGTGCTTGAGCAGTCGACCGTGAGTCTGTAGCACGTGTAGACCAACGCGTACTTTGGCCCCATGGCCACCCGCCGCGGTGGGTGTCACAACAACATGGTTTCATGAGAAAAGTTGTGGCGCATATACGACAAGTTCAGGAAATATGGTCAAATTATCTGGGAAATGATATATGTACACTGTAACTCTGTCGCGCTTGCGAGTCTGTTTTTGATAATCATTTACTAAGTATTCGATGGTGCAGCATGCTGAGCCTTGGCAGGTTCGAATTCACAACAGTAATCAATCATTCCTCTCCAAGCAGAGGTTGTGGGGAATGATCGTTACATTTTTATATATGGCCGTTTTTTTGTCCTGACCCCCACGTGGCCGCGGACCTTCTCTGGCTATTAAATGGATACAGTCTGGCTAATTTTATACTGTATTTTTGCCACTGAGAGGTATCTGCTTTAATAGAGATTAATCAATCATTCTTGTAACACGCGATCGGTCATGTCGGTAAAAGGCGGCAAGGTTCGATCACGCTCAGAAAGTTAGGGCGTGCATCATGCGCTAGATGCTGTGCGATTCCAGTCGATTAGCGGCGTGTCCGGGCATATTTTCTATCGAGTGCAGAAGTAACTAAACCCGTACAGACAAGAGGTAAAATTGGTACTGCATTCTCTATCAATTAATATCTTGGGAATGCAATTTTTTCAAGTATATTTTGCGCAGGTAAATCCTTCAGTCTTCATTTGTTTTATAATATATACAGTGACTTCTGATACACCGCGCAGCGTAATGTCAACCCAAGGAGCTTGGTCGTCAACCTTTTCCGACAGTTTGCGCTGGTTTGTTTGCCCGGCAATGCCAGCGTTAATTAGTTCCAGCCAAGCTCTGAGGCTGACAGGCGGCCCTTTATCCCCATATATCAAGTATCAAGTATGTGGGTCCAAAATCAGCGGACCGACCGGTTCTGAATCCACCGAAAATCCACTACAACCACATCTTCACCCTTGGAACCCACTCAGCCGGTTAGTCGGTTCTGTTTTCAAAGAGGTCAGCTTGAAGAATATGAAACATTCCCGGATCCAAAGGATTGCGAAATCTCAACAAACCACGTGACCCGCTAAGATGGCCGCCATTGTTTACTACTGGCCGGCCGTCGGCGCGGCGCGGCACCAAGTCGTCAAGAATATGACGTCTTCTGCGGCATCTATCACCCTCAAAACAAGAAGAGACGATGGAGAAAGAGATGAAGAGTGTAGTTTATCGTCAATCGAGGGGTCTGACATAGCTGTTCGCACTCGCAGCGCATAAAGACAACACTAGCTGACTCACAGGTCCTGAGTGAGCCTCGGGCGACTTTGACAAGTTTGAGAACTCTTTTGTATCGTAGAAACCCCCCACAATTTCATATTCCCCACAATTTCATATTATATTTCACAAAGGACTTGAAAGGTTTTCATGATTCTACTTGTGTTAATGTAAAATTTATGCAAGTTGACAACGATTTCGTGTTCGTATTTCACGGCGTATTCTAGCCGTAATATGAGCTCCGCTTAGTTTTCAACTTTCTACAAGTTGTTTGGATTTGCCCCAGACCGACTTTGGTCGATACGTCCGATGTACAGAAGGGGGCGCTGCACCACGGCTCTCTGATAACGAAGGTTTTAATTAAGCGGGACTAGTCCAAAGGGTTGTAGTCAGGTCCGGGACTAGTCCGGGACCAGTGGACCTGCCGGACTAGTCCTGCCCCCGACTCCCAGGACCACCTCGGACCGATCTGTGTCTGACAGGACTAGTCCCAATCGTCTGGGACCTGCTAGGACCTGCTGGGACCACCTCGGACTAGTCCGGACTAGTCCACATAAATTTCCTTTTTACAGAGGCATGTATATATATGTGACTAATGTTTCAAAGTGAAATATCAAAGAAGTGACAAGACAATTGTCTCTGAAAAGCAATATCCATGGCCTCACCACCTATAATGAAGCCAAACCAAAATATACTGTCTGCCTTCATCATAGCTGGTGAAGGATGGAAAAGATTTGGTGTTATGGATCCACTCCTGAGGTGTTGCCAAAAACACAAACATTGAAGATGTAGTAACTCACCAGGCTCCACCTGTCTTCAGAACTGCCACCTGTGCCTTCAGATCCTCAATTTGCAGGTTCTTCTGGGCACACCTGTGTAGATAATAAGGATTAGAATGGAGGTCCCGTGTTTGAGAAGAGACACACCTCAAACACGTTAAAGAACCCACGTGAGCGGAAGTGGAACAAACCATTATGGTCTAAAAAGGGGTAGGGAATTTTCCCGACCAGCCTCGTAACCCCTACTTCTCCTATTGGGTCAGTTAGTCCTCACTACTTGTGAGGATGTTTCTGAGTCAGGGAGAAGAGTTGGTGTGACAGTTACAGGCTAGCTCTATGCCTAGAAGTGGCCAATGGCCTTGCATTGAGCGACACCGTTAAAAAAAAAAAAAATCTGATCCAAAGTGAGTACCTTAGTTCATGGGACAGAACCAAAGATTTTACATATTGGTATTACTACCTATGCCAATGCAGATTGCTAGCCAAATTGGACTATCTAGCTTTGGTTCGAAACATCCTCTTGGGTGGGACGTAAAGCCAGAGGTCCCCTCATTGAGGACCGCCATACCTCGAGCACGTTAAAGATCCTACCACACTTCTCAAAAAAACTGTGTGTGGGTGGATCAAGCGTTAACCTTACAGTGTAGTCTAGTCTCACAAGAAAACTTTTAATGCTTAAATCATTTTGACCGTTAGTTAATTAACTTTGAAGAGTCAGTGTAAACAATGTTTTTATGTCAGTTGGAAAAAAGAAACTTTTTTTCTCAACTGTTTGTTCACGACTTTAAAGATGTTGAAAACAATGATAGAAGGTAACACACCTGTTCTTTTCTTGCTGCAGTTCATAAATGGCCCTGTAAGATGCAGGTGACAAACAATGACATTTTATGGAATGAGCGTCAACACATATTGATAAAATGAATATCAACTGCTTTGTTTGGATTTACCATCAAAAACAATTACTTCCATCAACAAGAATTCCGAGGTCTCATACCTCCATGAAATACAGGCTTGATATGTAAATGTAAAATTTCTTCCTTAATTATGCAAATGACCTCACATTAACATAATAGATGCATAAATTTCCCAAGTATGAAATTCCCATCATTTACCACTAAGGAGTCATTGAATTTTCAGAATAATTATGCAAATTAGGTCTGTATTTGCATAATTGGTATCAGTTGATATTCCACCTGCCATATATTATAACCATTACTATAACATGTATCAAAGTCCCATGATGTAAAACACTGGAATTACAGAATTTCGTCATTAATTATGCAAATGAAGTCTTTATTTGCATAATTTGCATCTAGTTGTGTAGATCTCTGTCTAAGCTACTCACATACCAAAAATCATAAAAATACATTGTTCCTATGTGAATTTATCTGCTCTGAAATGTTTCGCCAGAAACCCCCCCTGCAGTTCCAGAACAAGCTGCTAGGGGGAAGAAACCCACACCACTCATTACTGACAGGAAAAGCTATCCGCCACTCAAAAATCAATACCATAGCATGTCCAGGACAAAAGATGCAAAAACCGGAAGTTTTGCTGCAGTACCAAGGTCAGCCACCAGGAGGCCCAAAATCGACCTTGACCTTTGCCAGCACGTCGGCAGAACGTACTTTGCCTGCCCCCATTTTTGTTGGATTTTTGGTCAATGTTGCATCAAATTTTTGCCTGTTGCAGGCTATATTTTTTCCGACATAATATTTAAAAACTACAGACCGGATGTCAACCTTATATACGCGAATACGACCTTATATGAGTCGTTCTGCCAAAGTGCTATGCACAATGCATTGCTGGTTTCATGCAGGTTCATTACGTTCTGCTGACGTGCTACCTTTACCTACCCAACACGTACCCTTATACCAAATATCATAATTTTACAATCAAAGTTTCAAACCAAAGGTTTTTAAGTTATGCTGGCCGCAAATGTCTGGAAACACAAACACACAGACAGACACACACACACACACAGGCAGACAGACAGGCAAAAAACAATACCTCCATTTTTCATGGAGGTAATAATCCATAGGCATCAGGTCCTGCAGACATGCACAGGTAATAACAAGAGTTCCGAGATCTCATACCTCCATGAAATATGGGCTTGCTTTGTCCTCATAAATCATGCAAATAACCTCTACATTAACATAATATATGCATAGCGATGCAAACCTTTAAGTAACTTACACATGTAACGAGGTATAAAATTCCCATCATTCACCAATAAGGATTCAAAGAATTTTCACATTAATTATGCAAATTAGGTCATCATTTGCATAATTGGTATCTGTTGATGTTCTGCCTGCCACAGATTAAATAGATTACATGTATAGCAGTACCATTATATGAAACATTGTAATTATAGAATTTCCTCATTAATTATGCAAATTAAGTCCTCATTTGCATAATTTGCATTTAATCATGTACAACTGTCTATCAGGTACCTAGTACACACCAAAAATGATGAAAATCTGGACTTATTGGCTTTGAAGGTTTTTACCAGAAACTAACCTGCAGTTCCAGAACAAGCTGCTAGGAGGACCAAACTTACGCCACTTATTCCTGACAGGATAAGCTATCTGTCACCAAAAAGTCAAGACCATAGCTTGTTCAGGACAAAAGATACAAAAACCGGAAGTTCTGCTGCAGTACCAAGGTCATCCACCAGGAGGCCCATACTTGACCTTGACCTTGGTCTTTCCAAGACTTACCACCATACCAAATATCATCACAATCCATAAAGGCGTTCTGAAGTTATGCTGACTACAAAGTTGCGGAAACACACACAGACACACACACAGACACACACACACACACAGACATACAGACAGACACGCCAAAAACAATACCTCCATTTTTCATGGAGGTAAAAACACTGTTGGATCTCAAACAATAACAGTAAATTACTGTGTTACTGTACAGTAGTACTCACATTTCCAGGTCTGCATGAGACTCAGAGAGCTCCCTGTATTTGGGCAAATTCACAAAATTGGAAAAATGCACAGCATTTACAATACACAAAGCAATATTTTTTACACTAAGGGCATACGTGCTACTTGTTACTGTCTGAGAGCTGGATTTAATGTTTGAAAATTGTACAAAGTAATGAGAGATCCAGAAAAATTCTGTTTTGCCACCATGAAACTGAATTGGGTGCATGCCTTTAATACTACTATCAAGACTGAGACATTTATAATTATGGTAACTGTAACACTAAATTTCAAATTGAATTATGTTATAATTACCTTTCATGATGGACACTTGCATCATTTGCTTGCCTATGGTATTTTTAAAGAATAATATGTCAGTACTAAGTGCAATAAAATAGATTGTTTTGATTTACACACTTTTATCATGGTTTTGAAATTGATAAAACTAAAATGCTAGTATATAGTAAAATGTTTTCTGGCATTATTATGAGTGTTGCAAAAACAGAACTAACAACTGACAATTGTTTGGGAGCATATACAACATAATTCATTCCATTTAAAAATGGACAGTCCAATATCCACCTTTTCCATGTACATGTAGAGCCCAATACCCACAGTGCTTTTTGGTAAAAATTGTTGTCAAAACTGTCATATAGTGCTCAGGCCACACCAATTTAATTTGTTGGATCTCGGATTCGCCTCTTCGTTTTTTTCTGATTTGCAAAAAAAAAAAAATTGATTCTGGTCCTGAATCAACTGAAAAATGCTCACGTTTTGCCCCCACAGTTGAGGAAAGTCCTTTTCTTCCTAGTTGTTACAGTTTTCCCATCTATCATTGCAGTGGTTTGATTAAAAGTTCAAAATTCAATGTTTAAATTTCAACCCAGCCTTTTGTGTTGACTTCATGGCTCATTCCATAGCATTTAAGCCTACAATAGGATGCCTAGACCTGTTTTTATTTTTATTTTTTTTCGCCCTGTCGCTTCATATTTTTTCTGAAAAAATCCGAGAACCAACAAATTAAATTGGTATGGCCTCAGTAGAAAAAAATATTCTTGATAGCCCCGCATACAGTGCTTTTCAGTCACAATTTTTGCCCACTCTACCTGACCATACCAAATTCCAGGTCATATGGCCCAAAATGAAGAAGTTGAATCCATTTAGCAAAGTGATGGGAAGGAAAAGAAGAAATGTAAGGAAAAACAATATTTTATCCATACTATGGTATGGAATGAAATAAAAATAGAAATTGAACTGTGAATGTGTCCAAGACAAGATAATAAAGACTTACAGCTTCTCATCAGCAAGGAGCATCTCCAATTCTGCATTACGGAAAGATGATCTGACTAACTCATCTTCTGAAACATCAACTTGCCTGTTTTGGGGATGAAACATAGAAACTTACATTTGTTGCAATTAATGTAAATGATAACATCATGATCTGTGTCCATAATATCACCAGGGTCCATAATATTGCCACCTTGAGAAATGGTGACACTGTGCTTAAAGATATTTTTACTGCAACATACCCTAGGTATGTACATTTGATGTGTGAAGGAGTGCATACCAAAAGTATGTTGCAGTAAAAATATCTTTAAGCACATTTTTTCTCAAGGTGGCGATATTATGGACCCTGGTGATATTATGGACACAGATGTTACCTCATGCTTACAAAGCTGTGTGTTTATGTCAAACAACTTTAGGGACACACCAAAACTTAAGGTCTGTCTTCTACACATGAGTTTCACATTATTAAAGACAGTAAAGTACAGTGTATTTGTTCATTGCATGAGACATTTTCTGACCAACATGAACATTGAATAAGAAAAGGGTGATCTGTAAACTTACTCTTGAGCCACTTGTAGGAGCTCGGCAAACTCCCTGAAAATTAGAAAGGATTAGCTTCTTTAAGTATAAACCAATTTGAAACAATACTAAAAATGCCCCACTCTCTCTCACATGCAAACACACACACACAAGTACACAAAAACATGTACACACACATACCCCAACACACGAGCATACAAACACACAATTGTACACACACATACCCAATACACACACACACACACACACACACACACAAAGACACACACACATACATGCATGTACACATACACACAAGTATACAAACACATGTACACACACATCCCCAACACACACAAACACACACACATGCTTGCATACAATTTTTTTACACACACACACACACACACACACACACACACACACACACACATTCAAGCAGATGCTCATTCAGCACCAAGGACAAGGACATTTTTCTGCTTAAAAATATTCATAGCTTAGAAGAAAATGACTTTCCTCAATTGTCATTGACATTTCTGGTTGCTACATAGTCTGACTTTTACATCTGATCTCTATTTTTGCAATAAGGCCACACCAAGTAAATTTTATGGATGATGTCCACGTACGCGCGCATTGATTTTGGCCTGTTCCTAGAAAAAAAACACAAGAAATTCTGCTTCCTGTAACTATGACCAAAGAGTCACGACAGTGCCGCAAATCGTCAGATTGACGTGAAACCCGTGACGCAAAAACAGGATAGGACGACAACTGCTGTTCCACCTGATTTATTGCTGTTTTGATGATGAATAAAAGACTTTTTTTCTTGTTACACTATGTCACCTCATTCAATTTGTGTCCTAACACTTGTCGTCTCATAGTATATTTCTAATCTAGGCATCTTGTTTTTAGGGCCCTTCTTGTTTTTTTTTCGCCCTCTCGCATTAGATTTAGGGTCTCCAAAGGACATCATCCATAAAATTTACTTGGTGTGGCCTGACAAACAAAAAACAGTCTGAGATTGCCCTGTGACTGAATTTTTCTATACGGAACCATATTAATTTCTCAGCAGTTAGAGTGCTTTAGGATAATTTGCTGGTCATGAGAGTTGGTCAGAATAATCCACACACCACTCTTACCTGATGGATGGGGAGGTGTCTTCTTTCTTCTCCACAAACAATCTGGAACAAAACAACAAGTGGTGAGGACTTAGTGTACATAGACTCATGTGACATCAACTGGAAACAGAAAATTGTGACCTCTATCCAATTTTAGCCCTGAAGAGCTAATCTCCAACTTGTCATGACAGAGAATTCTACTGGTTCACTGTACCAGGTAAATTCTCCTAACTCTTTTCAACAAGCACAATGAACAGTGGACCATGACTCCGGCCCTTCATAGGACTGGTTTACACACATTCAAATATTTCATGTTTTCAGAAACATTTCAGAATACGTGCGGTAGGTGGCGATGGAAGATGCTTTGTGACACAACTAATTACTGTTTTGTGTGTAAACCAGGCCTAACACCATATGAGCATCAAAAAATCAGTGTGGTTTGGTTTTTAGTAAACCTCTACTATAGAATCTGATACCACTTCAAGCAAAGCCACTGTGAAAATGTACAAACATCATAATATATATGGGAACCCCAAAAATCACCAGTATTAACTACATGACTGTTCTGAATGGATTTGCTTCATGGGGTCAAGTTATAGCAAAAATATACAAAAAGGATACTTTGCAATTGATTACATTGTTACAGTTGCAGTGCCCATTAGTCAGTTGTCAGGTTAATATCATTTGGTGAAGGTATAAGTTCATGGAACTCTAGTTGTTTCTACAATGTACTTACTTGTGCATAGCCAGCAGGGTCTCCTGGAGTGTGCCTGCATCCCTCCTCAGGCTGAAGGGGAAAAAGCAAAATCAAGACATTTAGAGTGATGTAATTACTGCAAACATTCCTGAAACATGTGTTGTCTCTACCTTAGTATATACTAGGGGTGGGTACCAGTTCAGCTTAATCAGGTTCAAGTTAAAATCCAAGCTTAAAGTCCAGAGGACCAGGTCCAGGTCTGAACCCGAACTTATTACAGTAAAAATAAGGTAGTACTACAACTGTGCATCATATTTTGGAGAGTGAGACACAGGCACAGGTCTCCGTGAGTGCTGAAAAATTATATTTAAATTCAGAGTGTATTGGAATGATATTATAGTTATTTTCAATGCACAAGCATATAAACTTAGGCAAATCTACTTTGATTCAGGGTTATTTTCTTACCTTTTTAAAAGGTTCAGTCAAACAGGTACCCATCCCTAGCATATACTGTAAATTTCTTTACTTTTGCAGTGGTTTTATTTTGCAATAGGAGGGAAATGGGACTTTCCAATGGTGTACTAATACTAGTTAAACCTGACTGCACAGTTTCTTACTGGCTAACAAGCTGCTTTCTCATTGGCCTAATCTCTTATTGCCATGCTTTCATTGGTTGAACTGCTAATTGAGTTAGACATTCAGGAACCTTGGCTAAAGCTAACTAAACAGTTTCTTACTGGCTATCGGAGTTAGCTGGCTCTCCTCCCTGACTCTGCTGAGAGTAGGAAAGGAAACTGGAATGTGAATAAATTATAAAACAACACAAACACAACAGAACAGAACAAGGCAAGAAAAAGAATAGCAAAGCCTAAACATGTTGATTATGGAAGAAAATATAGGCGAAGGATGGACATTATGTATGAGAAATGGTGTAGCTAAAAATAAGAAGATGAAGAAATAATACGATGCATGGAAGACCATACAAAATCGGCATCCAACTGGTCGCGCTTAGTATTTCTTGAGTTAAAGTTTTGAAGAAAAAGATAAACAACTTACCTTTATTTTCCCCTCGACGCCTCTCACTTCTTCCTTTGGCTCAGTCGTCATTTTTCGTCGCGTTGTCACAGTCGGATTGACTTCGTAAGTTCAGTAATGAAAGTCGCAATATTCTCGACTTCAGAACGTCAGACCTATACCACATTCACCAAAAGAAGCGGAGTTTAAATACACCTTTCAGATATTTCTGGTCTCATCCGAAGCAAACTGTACGCTTATATATACGGGTTACAGACATATTCTCAACAACAAATACAAGAAAATTATTCCTCTTCTTCTGAGTCCTTACAAACTTTGTTGACCTTGAAGACCTAGACGAACTTGGTCAGCAGTTGTTTTTGCTTAGTTTAGCTAAAACTTTACCCGTTTTGGAGCTCTGACTTGATTCAAAGGGTATACACAACATCTATACATAAAATTAGACGAAAATTTGTGGCTTTTTTCTGAGTTTTTGTACCTTTTTTTTCGTTTCAATCAGGAGAAAACTAAATTTCCTACCTAGTTCACGGACTGGAACTTGTCATCTGTGTCGAACCCGTGTCCATGGCAACCGGATGTAAACAGGAAAATTCGAACGCCGGGAGGAATGATCCCAAGTTCTCTTACTCAGAAATCAAAGAAATCGTCCAATAAACTATTTTGTCGGCTCAATTCTAACACATAAACCTTCCTGTGAACGTTACGTTTGTGTTTTAACAATATGAGACAACCGAGTTGACCCTAGAGCATACATATCAGAATATGTTAATGTTTTCTTGCTGACTTGTGATTGGTCATTCCTGTGCACTGTAGCGGATGAACACAAGGAGTTCGGACTGTGAGGAAACTTGGTAGTGTCACATTCAAGACGCATATGTATGTAAGTAGCCCCAAAATATGTTGAATTTTGTAATGAACTAGAAAATATAAAGAGAATCACTGGACGTATTCACCCTATTATAACAAGCAGCATGTTGTCGTCAGAAAAGTCAAACATTTGGAGCTCATGTAACGGACTACTTTCTCTTGCGGAGTAAATCTCGTACAATACTCAGTTCTCCTAGGCCCTACAATCTCTGTTCATCTGCTTGTAACGTTGACCTATGTTCCATGCGGTCTACAGAAAATGCGAAAATAAGCGAAAACAAGCGAAAATAAGCGAAAATAAAGTCAATGTAAATGTTTGCATACGCACAGACCTTTGGTAATAGTTTATCTGACCAAAACCCCGCGCAACATGAGCTAACGTTATAATATTGACAGATAAAGACAGCTGTGTATTTCACTTGAGTGTAGTGCCTTGCACCCAAGCGTAATGGTTCGCGAAACGCACGGCAGGTTTTTTGTCATTTTGCCGGTGGAACGTTCTATCGCAACAGGGGTGCCCTAATTCCGACCTAGTGTTTAACACAGGTCGATCTGAGAAGAGAGTTTAGAAGTTGTAATACACAAATTATGACTAAATCAATCTACAACTGTTTTCTGTCCCAAACAAGTAATCTTTTTACGATTACGCGACTTGCTCCAAAGCGACTGTTTGAAAAGCAAAACCTGCATTTTTGACACGCTCGTCAACCCACGAACAAGCGTCGAATTCACACAGATTTTTCACTCGTCTGTTGTCGGAGTGTACAAACTAAAACAAACTTTGTGAGATTACCGATATCAACACAAAAACATTGTCCATTGTTGT